TCTACCCCAATCTGGCACAGAAAAAAAACAATCAAATCGAATTAAAACATCAATCCGTAATATCTTAGTCACGATTAATACATAGATATACAACCCAGGATGTTCTAATGCATGTACGACCTATAACTTCATATCGATTATTCGATGTGTTCAAATCCACTGCTTCCTAGTGGCTTTTACCTGAATCGAGTCGCATTTATGTTTCTTTTAGCGTTCACCATCGGGAGCAGCTTACTGCATGAATTTCCTCGATGAATTTAGCCTATCCAAGAATAGCTCTAGTACACAAAGCACACATAGGCAATATGCACAGCTGTAGCATACCGGTGTCTCGAAAACCCATCTTACCACTGAAGGGTTTATTATGATAAGCACTTATGGTGGATATGACTCGCAGTCAGTAGTATCCAACCCGAAACGGAACACAGATGATAATATGGTGCCACTCTAAGTGCAAAATGTCACGTTGGCTGGTGCCCATTTCCAGATGAGCACCAAACAGAGGCTTCAGCTGAGCACTATGGCACGGCTTAATCAGGACAGATTTGCCGGAGGAAGTCTTACTGTCAGCTACCTGTCTGAAGGCTTCAACTTCGACTACGGTGTCGACACCAACATCACTCTAATGACCTCCAGCTACGCATTGGTCGCCCAAGTGCGACGCGACGACGGAACAACAGCCGACCTTACGGTAAGCATCAAAATATAAGTACCAAGCATGGGGACAAAGCCGGCTTAGATTTCGAGAATCCCCAGTTTTCACCGAATCGCGTCGGGTTCAGCGTCAACTTTGTGTAAAGAAGTCTACTTCACGACGGTAGGGTCTGCAGAGTCATTAGCAACCTCCAAATGTACTCAGACATATAATCTCTACAAATTTCCGAAGTCTCTAGGACAAGAAAACCATCAGCAGACATCTAACCCTTCTGGGTAACAAACCATTCAAATCAAGCTGGCTGTTCCACCGGAAACTAGAACAACGGCTGCTGTGGTTCACTGACGAACGTCTACCAGTTATGTTTTCAATGATTCTTTTAAAAAGTAATGATCGTTGTTATCCATGCGGTAGATACATCAGTCAGTCTTGGGGATTGCGAAGTGATCCCACACTCTGCGATCCGTTCAGCCTGCCAGTCACGCCCATCGTGAGATGTTTTACACGTTGTTCTTTGGTTTCTCATAACGTAATATCACATAACTTCGTACCACTTGTCTTGACCGTTTCCACCTGAAAGCAAGTTATAAGGCAATCCGTCTGTTACCGTGTACAGTGGCGGCGCCATTGATTTGAGTGGGGGGAGGGGGGGGGGGGGGTAAGATTTTCAACGTGGCCTCCTGGACAAAATGTGGCCTTGTCACAGGGGTCTCATGGGCAGTGCCATATCCAAGGAGGAAGGGTACAGATGGCATGTGTTTTTTTTATCAAAATGCATCCTATCCATTAAATATCCAATAAACTTGTATGGAAGCACATGTAAACAATGAAAAATGAATCGGGCCTATTAGTTGTCAGTAGTCTCCGCGACCCAAAAGCGGGCCAACTGAGGCATGAAGGTCGCTATTAATCCAGAGCAAGGTGCTTTCATTTCACGAATGGGGCCTCGAAATCTAGCCCAGCGGCCTAGCCATCGCAAAACGGGGCATCCTGAGCCGGAACCGCGGCCATCTGATGCATGGAAGGGGCCTCTGCCCTAGAAATGGGGCGTCTGTAATATAAGGGTGCCTCTTAACCATAACAGGGTCTTCTAGTTTATAGTGGTGGCCTCCCAAGCCATCAAAAGGGTCGCCTCAACACAACATTGGGCCTTGTGATCTAGGGCATGCGGTGTCTTATTGATCAAGGTGGGTTACTTGTCCAGAAAAATGCCGCTTGATGTAGAAAATGGCCTCCCGAACGCGATTTACCACTCGCTTGCTCAATTCTCCCTAGCCTTTCGATCTGAATTTTGATCGTTTACGGATGGTTACAATGCATTTACTTCGGCAAAAAGGGGCCTCCCATCAAATTGCCTGCCTGATGGCAGGCAAGGGAGGCAACTGCCCCTCTGCCCTCCCCTCCCTTTGCTGAGCCGCCACCGACCGTGTATGCTCATTAGATGTGAGAACGCACGAAGCACAATGATGTTGCTGGTTGTATGTGTGGACTCTGCAGTGTGGAGTTAGTATTGGTGATGGTGAGACGCTTATCAGTAGAAAGTCTAAATTTGCAAGATTTTATTTGCTTGACTCGCGATAAGAAGTGGCAGAAGCGAGGTCGTCACTAGTGCAAATATCACGCAAGCACTGATAAATCCGTATCGCTTAGTGTCATGCTTTATGGCAGGATTCGGCTTTGGCTTCGACTTAATGCAAATAAAAAAAGGTCTGTTGTTGGCTTTGGCTCCGGATATTGTCACGTTGAAGAGGTGGCCTCGGCTACGGCTTCGGCGGCTTTGAACATTTTTTGAGTGGTGGTTTCAGCTTCGGTTTCCTACGATCTTTGATGGGTTGCTGCCCGTTTTGTCACTCCAATATACTACATAGAGCTTCAATGCTGCTACCCATGCATGGCTGAGACCTCAAAATCGCACGGTCATTCTCAGGTCCATAAGCACCTGCTGACGCCGGAGAACCACCTGTCCGAAATGCTGCAAACACACTAAAACAAGATGAGGCTGCAGCTTCGACTTCGATATCATACCATTGTCTTGGCTTCGGATTCGGCTTCGAAGCCAGAAACCTAGCTTCATTCCCATGCATGGCAAGCTGTCGCTGACTCTCTGACCACACTGACCGCACGGGCGCATCCATTACGCGGCGCGGGCTCGTCCCCGTGCCACCAGCACCTGACGCCGCGGCGCGGGGTTTCAGTTTCTGGCCTCCCGAGAGGTGGGGAGCGAGAGCAGGACGGTCCGGCTGGCCGCGGCGCTCGGTCTGGACGAGACGGACGCGCACACGCTGGACGCCAGTCTTGACCTACCCAACTACCCAAGCACGCGGCTGAGTGGCCGGCTGGCAGCCGGCAGTGGCGGCCGCTACCTGGTCAGCGGCCAGCTGCAGCGCGGCCCGCACGTCTACATGATCAGCGGCCAGTACCGCTACGAGGCCGAGCACGTCCTGGAGCTGCGTGCTCGCCTGCCGCGGCGAGAGTACACCGGCACGCTGTCGGCCCGCACCGAGGGCGGCAACTATAAGGTCAAGGCCGACCTGCAGCTAGGCCGCCGCATCATGACCGTCGTCAGTGTAAGTCGGGCGGGACGGCCGCCGCTAGCACTCGTCTCATGTGGCCTAGCAGCGACCTCATGTGTCACGAAGCTCACCAGGTCATCATGCGTTTCACTACTTTAAGCTTTGGACGGTTCACGTGCGTGCGTGCGTGCGTGCGCGCGCGCGTACGCTTGCGCATGTGCGTGTTCGTGTGCGCATGCGTGTGCGTGTGCGTGCGTGGCTGTGTGTGTGCGTGTGTGTGTGTGTGTGTGTGTGTGTGTGTGTGTGTGTGTGTGTGTGTGTGTGTGTGTGGTGTGTGTGTGTGTGTGTGTGTGCGTGTGTGTGTGTGTGTGTGTGTGTGTGTGTGTGTGTGTGTGTGTGTTGTGTGTGTGTGTGTGTGTGTGGTGTGTGTGTGTGTGTGTGTGTGTGTTGTGTGTGTGTGTGTGTGTGTGTGTGAGCGTATGTGTGTACGTGCGCGTACACGTGCGCGTGTGCGCGTGCGTGCGTCTGTGCGTTTGCGTGTGTGTGTGCGTGTGCGTGTGCGTGTGTGTGTCTTGACATTGATAAAACATGCACTTGACAGACAGTCTTCCACATATACCCCGGCATTTCAGGTGCGTCCAGGTGGTCCGGAAATGAACGCCAACTTTGAGCTGTTCTGGAATAAAGACGTCGATGATAGTCAACACATAATCATGGAGATCTCAAGGCGGGGTTACGACCTGTCGGCTAAGCTACGGTACCCTGGCCGTCAAGTCCAGCTGCTAGCCGGTTTGACGTGAGTACCGCAACTTGTCTGGGAGTGAAAGCCGCCAACAATTGCCAGAGTGACCACCGACCCACCGCTGCCACACCATCAGCTGCGCTCACGCTGAGATCCGTCGAAAAGAAGCAGCGTGTTGTCCGAGTTGTTTGGTTTGCACCAATGCATGCGCCGTAGTGTACCAGCACAAGTTATGGGACTTTCTTCTTTTCCAGTTCAAGTGGCGTGCG